TCGGTCCGTACAAGATGTGTTTCGTCAAGCCACTATCTCCCGTCACCCCGTGTAAGCCTACTGAACAACGTCCCGATATCTGATGGACCGTCAGTTCTCATGAAGCTTCTGACGTTCACAGCCCGTAGATCAGATTATAGACTCCCCTCCGGGCAACAACGCTTCATAACCCGTGGAATATCCGACCAAAAGATAAAACAAAGATTGCCCTCATAAAGTTTTCTTTACTGGTACTACCAGGCAAGTATAATGGGAAAATGGGCGGCTGAAGTTAATGATTCGCCCATTCAGGATGTCATTTTCTAGCTTTAGTTTTTACGGGGTGAGGAGACTTGGGATGCACGGGGACGTGCCCGCTGATGATGCGGTAATCCGTGAGCCGAAGACCCGCGCCGAGTTTGTTTGAAGAAGCGGGCCGTAATGACCAACACGGCGGATCACTGGTAATCACTACCCTAAGCCCGACCCTAACTGGGCCCGATCCTCCCGGAGCCGTGCTAACTAAGGACAGCCATGCAGAAGTACAGTCTGACGCAGGTGTAGGATAATTCGTCTCAACTTCTCATGTTTATTCAAACAAAATAGAAACATTCGCATTCCTTATGAAATTTGACAATGCATCATTAATACTAGAGAAGTAATATTTGCAAAGCAAATGCATAATGTTTACCCTCGCACATGGTCTGCTCTGTTAATTCTTACTCGAACTCAAACATATTCACATACATGTGCTACTAGTACATGGTGACAGGATCAGACATGTCAGAGCAGACCATGAAATTGCAACATTATGTAACCCAACACCAGTCACCATGGTGGCAGACGTCAACAAATCATGTCATTGGTCAGGTCATAGGTCACTGTTTGGAGAAGAAGAAGAGGAAGAAAGGAAGCAAATACAATATGTTTTCCTTCGGTAAACATAATTAGCCCAATATGTTCTTTAATACATCTATAGCTGCCTAAAGAAGCGAGGAGTTGAACTTGTAAATAGTAGACCACATTAGTATGTATAGTTTAAGTGTCATTGTTGTATTATTTTTGCTGTTTATTCATGACCTGTACTTAGACTGTTAGAGCATAAACGTACAATAAAGGTCTTTCATTCATTCATTCATTCTTCAGACTATTTAAAACTACAATCAAGGAAGAAAGCTACTTAAAGATAACAAACATACGACACAGAATAGCCACTACAAGACTTCGGATCAGCTTACACACAAACTTCTAGTTGAAAAGGGTAGACACAAACCACATTCCTCTGCAACAAAGAATTTGTAATTACTGTCATCACTAAATGAGATCAAAGACGAGAGTCATTTTATTGTTGACTGTACTCTATATGATAATAAGAGAAAGATTCTCTTCAATTGTATACAATATTTCTTCCCTAGTTTTAGATTTTTAGATTGAAAAAAATCACATTCCTCATGAAACTCGATAATCCTCGTACTATACGCTCCATCTGTTCTTACATTTACAACTGTCTTAAGAAGCGAGAAGAAGCAGAACCTGTACATATGTAGTTTTACTATAGATATATTTTAGTGTACCATAGGTATTTGCCGTGACCTGTACTAAGTTCGCAATGAGCAAAAATGTACAATAAGGTCTTTCATTCATTAATGTTCTACTGAGAGGTCCCATTCCTACTGAAAGGTATTAATATTATTGTCGGTTAAATCTAATGGACTTGCTTGACACACTATACCGTATACCGTAGCACTTCATATTGTCCGCCCACCTGTTATGATAAATCAATTTACTATCATAAGACTTTGTCATGATAAATAAATGTACTATCAGAAGACATTTAAGCTTCCTTGCATAATTAATAACCAAAGTAGAGCTCATTAAGATGAAATTACTAAGATCACAAAACCCACTAATTATACAGAATGTGGGACTATTCATGATCCACTGCCTTCAAAAAAGAAGTCAAACCCCGTAATAGGTAGCGCAGTAGTAGAAGTCTGTCTCCCATTATTGTATTGTACTGAATAGCATCTTTAACAGTAAATAAAGCAGTTAGCCTTCGGGCATGACTTTGCAAATAAAGTCTACTACATTACCCTTTTAGATATCTTTTATACTATAAGCTATGGAAATGTGGACGACACCTAATGCTTCTTAATATCATAGACATAGATTTATAGCATGTAGAATTGTAAGTATGTCAGTGTTGTTGTGTCGTCTCCAGAAGCTCAACTGCCTCTTGAACGTGTGTGTTTTTTGCTATATCATCGGCGTTGCTGTTGGTAGAATTTATTGAGGTTTCTCTTTCTATTAGAATTATCCAAAATATTTGGGTGCAGACAAGTCAATCTATTGGCAGGTCCAAGTAAAGGATTCTGAAACATATCCAGTAACATGTTTTTAACACCAGAAACAATAACAACTGTCACCTTTTTTAGGGTGGCAAGGTGGTCTTGTGGTTAGGGTTGTTGACACAGAATAAAATGGTTCTGAGTTCGAATCTCCGGCAGGCCTCACTGTTGTTTCAATGGGAAATGCACTTGATACCTATTTTCTCGCTCAACGTTACGTTCATTCATTCATTCATTCATTCATTCATTCATTCATTCATTCATTCATTCATTCATTCATTCATTCATTCATTCATTCATTCATTCATTCATTCATTCATTCATTCATTCATTCATTCATTCATTCATTCATTCATTCATTCATTCATTCATTCATTCATTCATTCATTCATTCATTCATTCATTCATTCATTCATTCATTCATTCATTGTGATTACACCACATTTACAGAATAATTGACTTAACAGGTGACTATCACATTTATAAGATGGTAACCTAGATAGAAGACTGCGAGGTAAGGTTTAATTAGCCACATACTTACGGAAACTCCTGTTTACACCACATTCAACGTTTCAACTGATGGAGCTAGTTTCTCATTTTCACCTAATCAAGAGAGCCAGAAGGTG